AAAGACAACATGGAAATTTATTTCTTTATATGATAACTGTGGCGAGACTCCTATACGCACAAAAATGGAAGGATTTACAAATACCTACTGCTGAAGAATGGATATTGAAATTAATGGAATTGGCTGAGATGGTGAAGCTCACTGCTTTGCTGAGACAGGCATTGTCTAACTTTGTCTTTAATTGGAAACCACTCTTAGACTTTTTGCTTGATACTCAAAAAAATGCAACTTTTGCATTTTGGAATTTGCTGATGTTATACTTATAGAAATATCTTGTACAAATCATATACATTATTCAAACAGATTAATTTTTAGGAATTTTTCTGAATATTAGATTAAAAACTATTTTTTACTATGTAAATTTTTAGATATTAGAGTAAGAGATGAATATATTTTCTATCTATACCTGTACCAAGGAAAGTCAGACGCTACTCTTTCTTATGTCCCCTCTTTTTCCCTCCCCCATTTCCCCCCCCCTTTTTTTCCCTTCCTTTTTTCTTGATTTTTCTGTATTTTAACTTCTTTGGAAAACATAATAAAATTTATATGAAAAAAAAAAGAATTCATAAATAAAGGCAACATTTTTCATGCTGCCACCCTTTTGTTTAACTATGACATCCTCTCACCTGTGCCTCTTCCTGGTCTTTGTCCTCCACCTGACTCAGGAAGAAGCCTTCTGCTAGAGTTATAGCATGGGAACTGATCTCTGCTCCACACCCAGCTCTTTGTCTCCTGGGGCAGGATGTCCAGGAACTGTCCCAGGACTATAAGGCCTAAAATCTCAGCTTTTGTGTTCCTTTTGGGCTTCAGCCAAAAGGTAGTGCAGTTGGCTGCAAATCTCTCATAGGCCTATGGCTCCCTTGTGGCAAAAGTCAAGTGCAGCCACTGATAATTTAAACCCATAATTTTGACATCTGGGTTCTTCTCTGCAGTTTTTTTCTCCTCTGATCTCAAGTTGAGTAACATAAGGAATTTTTCTGGTTCTTTCCCCAGTGGGTACTTTAGATCCATTTTTTTTTTTTTTTTTGCCTTTTCAAATACAATTCAAAATGGGACCAGTGTTTTTTCTGGATATTCAACTTATTTTCTTGACAGGATATAAGTAGCACGGAGAGTTATTTTCTTGATAGGACATAACCAGTACTCTTTGTTTATGAACTGCTTTTGTCTGCATAAAGAAACTCATGAATTCCTCAAGATTCTTCTAGATATAGCTTTGATGTGCAAAGAAAACAGGTAGAAACACCTCAACCATTTGGTTCATTTAAGCAAAATCTTTGTAGAATAAGAGTTTGAAGTTTGCAGGCACTATGCCATTTTCATGCCACCCAAATCCAGAAGTATCTTTTTCTTCTCTGCTTAAAAAGGCATGCAGGCAAGCAGCCTTTAGTGCTGGGAAAGACCTCATGATTAATCCAGCCAAAGATCTGTTCACCAAGGGAAAAACACCCTGACTGACATCAATAAATTCTCTGAGACCTTTCAGTTCATACAATGGAAAAACATTTCAGAGAAGCCCAACTTTGCATTCCCTGCTTCAAAGATCTTTCACTAGAGGTGCTGGGAGCCAGTGTGAGATCTGCTGGCAAAGCACTAAGCCAAAATGAATCTAGCTGGACTATGTGATCCCCTCCCCCCACATACTGAGTTGTCCCATTTTTCTTCTTAGCTGCACTGCAGCACCTCTCCCAAACTCTCCTCCCACCAACATATTCTTCCCAGATTTGCCATCTTCTCTACATATTTAGGATTGCTGGTGAAGGTGGCGATAGGTCAGGGGAAAGGGACCTTCTGCACTGTTTGGCCACAGCTGCCCCATCCATGAACCTTAACCCTAAGGGACAGTAGCAACAAACTCTTGTCCGCTCATGCCATGGACAACTATTTCGGAAACAGAATGCAGGGCCCAAGATGCAAGGAGCCCTCCAAAATTAAGCAATGGAGCCACAGATGGAGCACTCCTAGTCTGGCTCTGGAAGGAAAACCTGAGTCTGCTCTCCTAGTTCAGCCTCTGTTACTGGAGGTGCTGGAGCCAGTGGGACCTGCTGGCAAGACTGAATCTGGTCTGGCTACGCCTTCCCACCACCCCTACTCTGGGATTCCCCTCCCTCCCTTTTCTCTTTTTTGCAGAAGCAAGTCCTCCCCCCCATCCCCCCCCATCAGTTTTGTTTCTTCGGTCCCATGGAAGGCTTTTTATTATTATTATTCTCATAGCCAGTGGGGTGACTATTCGGCGTTTCGGAGAAGGGATTTCTCTCGCCCAGAGGATGCACGGAAAATCAGCAGGGATTGCACGAGACGGGAGGAAGCTTGGACAACGGAGTCGCCCCGGTTCTCCCTCCCGAAGAGACACGCGCTGCAATCTGGAAGGAATACCTTTCTCGGGACGATGCACTATCCCGGGCGGCTCCTTTTGCTTTCCCTGGGAAGAGGCCGCCACTCGCAGCCTCTCCGTTCCTGCAAGAACTTCTTGCAATCCCTTTGCTCTCGGGGGTGCAGGGTGCAAAGTGAGGGAGGGGAGCGAAACCAGGGGAAGGTTTTGACTGATGCACTCACTTCCGGCCTTCCTTTGAAAAAAGAATCTCCGAGCGCATTTTCCTTGCAGAAGCCCGGGAGGACAAAAGCCCTGTGGCGCATGCGCAGCTCTGCCGTGGAATCCCAGCCCGACCTTGCTTGCTTCGAGCTGAGAACCAGGCGAAACCCAGGGATGGTTTGGGAGCATCCTGGCGAGCTCTCAGTGTCTTTTCTGCCCCAAAGGGTAACCCACGGGAGAAAGAGACTCTCTCCACACCCCAAGAAACTCTCAGCTGCATTAACCACCGTGGCCCACCTGGCGAGCCTGTAGAGAAGGACATTTCTAAACAGCCGAGCTAAAAAATGGTCCGTTCCCTCCTGTGCCTCAGGGATATCTGATCTACCGAAGAAATGCTCTCTTCCCTCTCATAAATGAAGAGTAATTCTGAATGATCTCTGCCCTCGTATCCTTCCCAAAGAGAGGACTTTTGAATATATATCTTTATATAATAATTTATATCTGCTTCTTTTATCCTGGAGCAGCCTTGGTCTGAGGTGCTGAAATAGGGATGTTGTGAGACCTGGTGTGAAGCTGTGGGACCAAAATTGAGATCTTGAAGGAAAAAAAAAGAAGAAATAGTGAAGGAAATATGTTCTTAAGTGGAAGAAATGCATAAGGATGTGCTATTCTAGAAAACATACCTCATAAAATGCAGAATAATGGAGAAATTAAGGATGAAATAGGCTGATCTCGGTGAGTGAATGGAATATTTTGAAAAGGAGCAAACAGTACTTCTGAATTATCTCTGCCCACATATCCTTCCCAAAGAGAGGATTATAAAGATATAAATAAGCAGTTTTATTGGGGAGCAGCCTTGATCTGAGATGCTGAAATAGAGTGGCTGTGGGAGCTGGTGTGAATCTGTGCGAGATCAAAATTGAGATAAGGAGGAAAAAAATGGAAAGGAATAAGTTCCTAAAGTGCATAAAGATGTACTATTGTAGAAAAATTTACCTCATAAAATGCAGAAAAATTGAGAAATTACGAAGAAGGCTAATCTCAGTGAGCCAAGTGGAATCTTTGAAAAGGAGCAAACAGTGAAAGAGGGACGGCAGTACATATTCGTACATTAATATAAAATATTTTAAGCTTACAGTATTTAATTAAAAAAAAAGGAATGTGAAGAGGAACATCTATTGTACAAAGGTTTAAATAGGAAATGGTGAAGAATCTTCCTCCTAAAAAAGATTTACTGAGGTGGGATAAATTACGACTGTCACTGTTGGGAAGAATTTCAGCAATCAAGATGAATGTTTTACCTAGGATTTTATTTTTATTTCAGACAATACCAATATTGATGACTGATGTACTATTTAAACAATGGCAAAAAGACATCTCTAAGTTTGTATGGCAAGGCAAAAAAACAAGAATTAAATATAAATTGTTGAAGGCTTTCACAGCTGGAATACGATGGCTGGTATGGGTCTTCCGGGCTGAACACGGCCACACAGCCCGGCAGACCCACACCAGCCATAAATATAAATTGTTGCAAGACGCTAAAGAAAGAGGTGGGTTAGGATTACCTGACTGAAAATTATATTTTGCTGCTGCTTGTTTGGTATGACTGAAAGATTGGGTGACTGAGAAATAGGAGGCTATAGGAAGGACATGGTTTAAGATTTGGGTGGCATGGTTATTTGTGGTATGAAAAAGTTAAGGTTAACATAGATTTCAAAAATCACTGTTAGGCATGCCATTTTGAGGAAGAAAATGTTCCATATGAAGAGACAGGACAGGAAGGCCTTGCAAGTTCTCTCTTAAAACTCATAAATCACAGAAGTAGAGATTTGTAATGGACATTTTACAAATAGGATTCAAACAGTGCAAAAGAAAATGGAAAGATCTCCCAACCCCTGCCTGACCACCTACTTGGGACCAAGTAGGCGACGATGCTGTTCAATGAGAATAGCTACTAGTGGAACACCCCTTCGATAAATCAATGATTAATAGATGTGATGCTTCCTGATGAACATTTCTAGAAGAATCCTGTTTTTGCCTTCGCCCAAGGCCCACGGTGTTTCACAGGGATCAGTGTTGATCTTAGATCATTCTACACCTACAGTACCTGCAAGTGCTAGGAGATCTCATTTGGAAATTGGCATGAAATGTCAAATGCAGTTAAAATGTAGCCCTGGATATGCTTCCAGGAAAACTTCTACTCTAAATCACTGGCTGGATGAGACCTAATAAAATAAACCTGAGTAGGAAATTACCCTGACTGTCAAACAGATGTATCAGCATTCAGTTCCAGGTACAAATTAGATATCTGAGATTATCCTGGAAGCTATAAGTGGCTTGATTACAAGCATTCTGAGATACGGTTTCTTACATAAAACACTTATATCTGGACACTTTCACTAAATCTTTAAAATAATATTTTAATAATCCTTTATGTATCATTTAAACTCTAAGCATTTTTACATAGCAAACCCATATTTTGCATCTATCTATCTATCTATCTATCTATCTATCTATC